CAGTAAGTACTGAGTCAATCTTACAAGCTTATGGTTATTAACTACTGTATAGCATTATTTAGTTTAAATGCTTTTATTCAAACCAAAATTCATTCAACTGAAAGTAATTCAATATTTAGTTGCAGATAAAAGTTATTACTGGAAATATTTGGCTATTTATGTAGTGATTTTTGTGTGGTTTTGTGTATTCATCCCTACCTTGTTTCTGTACATTTTTGGCATTGTCATCCCTACATGATACTTAACTTTTACAATTTTATTTTTATTAGTTGTCATAAAGAACAACATTTTACCGTGTATTGTCTTCGAAATTTTATATAAATCATTCACAATTTTACTTAAACTCAGTTCGCTAGACAATAGTTTACTCATTCTTAACAGTATCTTTGTTGGTGTCAGGTACTTAGTTTGTCACAGATACTTTAAATTTATTTTGCAGAATCAAAAAATACTAACATCACAAAATCTTCAAGAGTTTAGATTGTATTTTAATAGTCGGCTTTACTTCGGTCTATGGAAAACAGATTCTCATACTAATACGGAACTGCCATTTTATAAATATATCTTAAAATCATTACTGTATTTTATTTCTCAATTTTATTCTATCTAGGGCGGCTGTCCCTAAAACAACAACAGCAGCAATGCACTCTGCAGACATTTAACCAATGTTTAGCTTCCCTACAAAGCGTGACCCAGGCAAATGACCTGAACTTTATCACCTCTAAAGTCAAGCTAGATGTCGCTTGTCGGTAAGTTCGTATTATTTTCTTATGTAAGTTAGTTTTGGCATTGTCGATTAAGTGCAAGAATTAATTCTCGCAATGCATAATTATAATTTCGTAATCTCACTGAAATTCCCCCTCTTCTTGTGTGTGAAAGGATTTGATTAAAAACAAACGTCGTATAATTTCAATTAATAAAGCATGAGTGGATGTAAACTTTGGAAAAAATTGTCTAAAACATTCTGGAACAAACGTCTAATCACAGGACACATTTACACATATGTGATAAAACTGACTGTGACTTTTCTCCATCATATGTTTGGAGTTTTAATTATTGCACTATTTAACTTTTCATACGCTCGATGAATTGTAGAGCTATACACGAGTTGATGTCTTCCTGTGGGTCAGTAGTAAATCTCTGGACTTACAAACTCTACAATTTCGAGTTCGATTATCTGCGGTGGACAGAGTACAAATAGCAAATTGTTTACATTTTCGCTAAAAACCAACAAGAGTTGACTTAGTTTGAGTTTCAAAAATCGATTATAAGAGTAGAAAGACACATTAAACTTCAAAAACAAGTAATTTAAAAATAATATTTAAAATTTAAATAAATATCAAACAATATATATATAGTACTTGAAATAATATGGAAATGCATATATACAAGTCATAAACAATGAGTAATTGCAACTAAATGGTCCATTTATCATTACCATAATAACAGAAAATACGAAAGAAAGCGAATAAATTGTACAATGCACTAGTATTGTGATTTTTGCTTTATAAAGATTAGAACACCTTATTGTCGTGCTACCATAAGTTTATCAATGTATTATTATTGTGAAATATTTTTCCAAATTTCTTGTATCACTCCTCACAATTCATCCAAGTTGTTTGGTTGTCATTTGACCTTCTCACTTTCCATGTAAACCCTTAGCAATATCTATATCGGGACACTGTGAAAGTCAATCTATGGTTGATCAGTGTTCCATCGGTCTACTGTTATTCCAGGTATCGTTTCAACACATTTGTGGTCAATGAATTGCTGAAAGATGAATTCTTGCTTAACATATCTCGTACTTGATGAAATGAAATGATGGATAAAAAACTAATTTTACTTGTCCGCAGTCAGGATATCATCAGTTTTGTGTATATTTTCAATACCATTTGCTGAAATGCATCCCACACTTGTTCTGAGCCCAAGAATGGTCCGTTGTAGATATTTTATGTTGAGAGTGGCACAGTTCTTCCCTCTGCCATCAAACAAACTATCGTTGATTGTTGCTAAACAATTTGAACTTGGATTCATCTGTAAAGAGCGGTCTCCTCCAAATTTGCTCATTGTATTATTTATAGCCTAATGTCCAATTCAACCTTTTGGTTGTCTCTTATTAAGTATAGGCCCGGCATGGCCAGGTGGTTAAGGCACTCGACTCGCAATCTGCGGGTTCGAATCCCTGT